CTGGTGGGGTGCAGGCATGCCACAACCCCCTCTCCCTGTCTCCACCCTCTCAGGATTTGGGGCTCAGATGCACACACACACGCCCCTGTTGATTTTCAAATCACCGAGGCCGGGATTTGAACTATGGTGAACCATGTGGATTCCAGCTCCCTTAGCCACTGGTCTACAGGGCCAGTCCTGTGCCTGCTTTTCTGTTAGACACCTTACCTCACTCCCACCCTAAGGACCCGGGGGTCCCCTCTGTGTTGGTGTGAGCTGCTTTCACGAGCGGAATTTGTTCTCTCAATTCTATTAAAGATTTACTTAATAACTCTCCTCAGCGAAGAGGCTCCCCTCAGCAAAGTCTCTGAAATAAGAAGCTATGAAGTTGCAAAACTCAGCCTGGTTTGTAAAGTGGAGCCCACCCACTCCTGAGACGCCTCCTCGCCTCAGCACTGGCCTGTGGCAGGCGCTGTGAGCTCGACTCTGCAGACTTGGCCAGAGCAAGCTGTCCCTGGGACACAGCCTTCCTGGGGCTCTGGGCGCTCACACCTTCCTGCCACCTGCTGGCTCTGGGACCCCTTCCTTAAGTAGCTGTCCCTTGCATTTCTGAGCACCACTGTGTACCCCAGGCCGGATGCTGGAGACAGGTTAACTCTGCAGGGGGGCTCACTACAGAACCTCCCCCCAGGGTAAGCCCAGGTCAAGGGTCCCAAGCGACTACCCGGAAACATGACAGCCATCTGGTACTTTTGGGTGGGCAAAAACGGTCACAGCCACACTGGCCCGATCTAGCACTTTGTGACTTCTGGCTGTTCCCCCAAAATAAAATAAGCCATGCAAGAAAAGATCTGACACCTCCAAAGCCAGTCACTCTGTCACCACCACCCACTTGAAGACAATCTCAAAAAGGGAGTTTCAGCAAGTGGCGGGGACAAATGTGTGCGTGGGAGGGGGCACTTGGAGGGGAGGACTCGGGTGTTGTCAGATATGCTCTGCGTATTCCCTCGGTGGCAGAGTTTTCCGGAATGGCACAAAGCGTGGGTCTGAGCAAGGTGCCCTGGGTGCCCAGAGGGAGGGACTGCAGACGACCTGGTTGGTCTCCCAGGAAAGAGGATTTGTTCAGGCACAGGATAGACAGCCTCTGAGGCCCTGGAGGGGCAGCGAGGATGAACCAGGTATTGGACACTTGGAAACGCAGCTGGGAGGCTCCACCTGCCCTCCCTGCCCTCATTCCAGCCCACCCACAGCTGCCTCCCCAGCCCTACAGCCGCCCCATGACGACATCCTGGCCCAAGCCCCCCTCCCTCGGCAGCCCCTCTGCGGAGCTATTTGCAGAGCCCCCCATTTGGAGCTCAGAGCTTTGCACGCAAGTGTTTGGTTTTAAAAAGAGAGAAAGAGAAGCCACAGCAGGTGCCTCCACTCTCATCCTGGCCCCACCCGCCCTCCGAGGCTTCCTGCGGCTCTTCGTGCTGTGCATGTGTGTCTGAGTGCGGGCGTCATCCTCACATCTGCTGCCCTATGACAAGGGCCTTTGAAGCTCTACAATGACGCCATCTGCCAGGGACAGCCGGCTGGCTCACTGGGAGCTGACCCCATGGTTGCCATAGCAACCAAGATGGTGGCTGGGGCCTTTAAAAAACCCACGAGGCTAATGACGTCAGGAGGTTCCCTGCAGCAACCTGGCCCACCAGACCAGGCTTCACTGGCCTCACCAGAATGGAGGTGGACAGGGCAGAGATGGAGGACAGGCAGGTGGCTAAAGGGACAAGGAGAAGGAGACGAGGAGCCCTTTGCTCTCTGAGTGATGCAGGATGACTATTCCCCTGTGGCTCCTTGGAACCTCCGGCTCTCAGGTCAAAGGCTCACCTTCTCCTGATGGAGCCCGTCGGCCGGCACAGGGAAACTCC